TGGGGCCGCTCGGCGGGGGCTCGCCCCCGTCAGGAGCTGGGCCGGCGCGGCCCGGGGGGAGCACTCTGGGGGCTGAAAGGGAAAAGCCGGGGTGTCTGTCCAACAAGCAGTAAATGTGCGGCGTTTCCTGCTTATCCTAACCCTGGCCCGCGCCTCTGTCACTGCCTTTAATTCAGCTGAGAGGCGCATGGCTTCCTCACCCTCCTCCTGCGGTGCCCCAGCAGTCACTTTGGGCATAATAAATCCTAGTGGTCTTCCTTAAACCATCCTTCTGTCAGCTTCTGCAGTGGAATTGTCATGGGGTCTGTCTGCAGCACTTGCAAAGCCTGTGCTCACTTTGATTGCCTCGGTCATAAGAAGCAGGAATTTATCCCGTGTTCTCTCTGCTTTCTTTAGCAAATATGAAGGTCATCACTTGTGAAATAGCATGGCACAATAAGGAGCCTGTTTACAGCTTAGACTTCCAGCATGGAGCTGATGGGAAGATCAATCGATTGGCCTCAGCAGGTGTGGACACAGCCGTTCGTGTAAGTCTCAAACCTGTTTGTTTTGGTTCTGTAGCATGTGCAGAGAGTGAAATAGCTTGTTATCCAAGGGATGAGATTGTTGGCTGGTACCTGATGCCGGTGGTGGATGGTTTAGGGAAAGAGTGTGAGGTTGTACAGCTGTATGCAGAATGACAGTTCCCCTTGCATACTGTCCTTGACTTCTGCTGCTGAGGTCTGAACTATTAGTTTTTTAAGAATTGCCTGCATTGATTGCTGTGTGATATTCCTGAGTAGTAACTGCTAATTTAGGGCACAGTCTTTATGGGTTAACAAGAAAAACAACACCTGGTTTTAGTTTCTTTATGTTCATCAAAGTTGAATTTTATCTGCCATTTTATAACTAATCACTCAGGAGTATGAGATACAGCCCTTTACACTCAGCTTCACATGCAATTCTCCCAAGTAATTTTGTGTTGATGTTAGCAAAATTGAGAATCACTTATGAAAACGTTCAGTAGCGCAAGCCCCCCAAAAATGTAGCTGTAAGATTCACCTTTGCAAAATCAGGCAGTTGTTTACTGTCTTCCAGATCCTTAATGCATGTGAGGACTGTCCCCCATTGTTCAGTGAGCTCTTGGTTTCTCTAAAAGCCTTAGCCGTAGTTTGAGAGCTTTGCAAAACTGAGGGCACTGGGTGAAACACCTTCTTTTTATCTGCGCGTTAGTCAACTCTTTAAATAAAGTTGGTGGGAAAGTAAGGTACAGTTTCCTTTGCAGAGAAATACATCGACTCAACTTCTTTATTTATTTTTCTTTTAACAGCTTCTCAATATGGAAGGTAGACATAGTGGTCAGAGTTTTTTGGGTGAGCATTCGAGCGCTTCTGAAAAACTGATACATCTGCATCCCCTGTTTTTCAGAGCTGAGAATGACACAGAGTAGGTTACCCATCACTGCTGGGCTGTTCATTTCATGTTTGAGTTCCTCTAGGTCGCTTTGGTATCTGATGATTTCCTGTAAAAAATTGAGGGGGTTTGTTTACTAAAATCTCTACTGCTAACTTTTCAATTTGAGACAGTTCCTCAAACTCATTCAGCAATAAAGAAGGGTTCCAACATGGGACCTTTCCTTTGCTCCTTAGTAATGAGCAAATGCAAAAAAATTTTTGTAGGTTTTCTGCTATGTGTGTATGTATCTCTATCTATTTCCCTGTCTTTGCATGTTAATTTTACGTTTTAATTACCTTTTTGGCCTATTCATGGTCTGTGACGCTTCCATCATGTGATACATTTGAAGAAGAAATAAAAAAATATAGTCATGAGGCCTCATTACATGTGGAACTGACACAGACAAAGAATAAGGTTTTCTTTTTTATTACTGCTGCATTTTCTTATGAATAGGGAAATATTCTCTTTTAGCAGAGAATTTGAGTTATAAAGATCAGATCTATACTTACACTTTGGAGTGCCTGGATTTGATCTAGATTTGTTCCCCAGAATCCCCAGTGCAGTATTTTGAGAAATATGCCAGTATTTGCTAATGTATTTATTAGCAAATTATTATGAATGGTAACTGCTATGATATGTGCATCATTGGAATGCCTATTTTGGAGTTGATAAATGGGATAAAGGTCATTAAAAATTAGGGGTTTACTTCAGTAACTGCAGCTAAAACTTTGCCCTTTGTCACAGGCAAATTGACTTCTTGCCTGACAGTGCACGCATCTCAGGGATTTAGGCTGTCTGTTTAGGTTACTGAATATATATTTGAGTCATATTTATAAATATACATGTTTTGGGGCCAGAAAGGTCTCTGTGTTCTTTGACATAAAAGACGCTGCTGCTATATCTTCTTTTGGAGGGCTGTTGAATAAGTAGAGAAAGCTGGCAAAAATTACAGAGATCTTTATTCAGGCTGCTTCATTGTTTGATATATTCCTATCAAGGCCTGGTTGTTGAGGTTTTTTGGTTGGTTGGTTTGTTTTGGGTTTGGTTTTGTTTTTGGTTTTTTTTCCTGAGCTGAATTGCATTTAAGGGGTGATCATTTTAAACATTTAATGGGATTTACCTACGTGTGGCCTTAGTCCCACGTTATAGGGACATTAACAGTGTTGTTCTTGTGGCTGAGTTGGCTCACAAGTCAAGGGGTAGGAGTGGCATCACGATGCCCTGCAAAATTGAGAACAAGTGGGATCAGGAATTCCTTAAGCCAACATTGCTGGAAAAGTGCCTGTATCATATAATCTATATCATGCAACTTCCTTAATGCTGTGACTGTTATCACTGGGGAACTGGAACTATTGTAATTCTAACTCAAATTATCTGTTTAAAACCAGTAAATCCATTGACTTTCAGGATGCACTGCAAAATTCTTCAACTTGCTCAGACTTCTAAAGAGAGCTAATATTTTTTTCTCCTGTAGTAATCAGGTTTGTTTTCAGACTGTTACTATATGTGGTTGACAGGTTTGTTAGCAAGAAACTGTAATTCCATACTATTGAATCATTGTATTTACCGAATCCCCTTGAAGCTAGAGCTTGTCAATCAATGAAGAGGGAATGATGGCATGTGTTTGTTTGGTTTTAGTTGTTGGTTTGTTTGGGGTTTTTTTTCATTTATTGGAAATAGTTAATAATATATTTCACCAGAATTAAAAAAATACTGCCATATAATTACAGCTTGTGGTGGGTTGACCTTGGCTGTCCACTAGGTGCCCACCAAGTCACTCTATCACTCCCCCTCCTCAATAGGATGAGGAGAAGATACAATTTAAAAGCTCATGGATCGAGATAAGGACAGGGACAAGGACTAATTACTGTCATGAGCAAACCAGATTCAACTTTGGGAAATTAATTTCTTGCCAAGTAATAACAGAGTAGGATAGTGAGAAGTACAAACAAAACTAGAAACAGCTTCCCCTACCTCTGCTTTCCTCCCAGGGTCAGATTCACTCATGAATTCTCTACCTCCTCCCGCAAAGCCGTGCTGGAGAATGGGGAATAGAGGCTGTGGTCAGTTCATGACAGGTTGCCTCTGCTGCTCCTTGCTCCTTACTCTCTTCCCCTGCTGCAGAATGGGGTCTGTCCCACAGGGTACAGTCTTTACAAACTTCTGCAGCATGGGTCCTTCCATGGTTTGCAGTTCTTCACAAACTGCTCCAGTATTGCTCCTCCATGCAGTCGCAGTTCCCACCAGAAAACTTGCTCCTGTGTGGGCTCCTCTTCACAGGCCACAGCTCCTTCCAGGAGCCTGTTCCAGTGTGGGCTACAGCTTCCTTCAGGGCACATCCCACCTTCTTTGGCCTGGTGTCCTCCACAGGCTGCAATGTGGATATCTGTTCCACCATGAACCTCCATGAACTGTAGGAGTACAGTGTGTGTCACCATGATCTTTTCCAAGGGCTGCACTGGAATCTCTGCTCTGGCACCTGGAGCACCTCTTCCCCTCCTGCTTCACTGACCTTGTTGTCTGCAGGGCTGTTTCTTACATTCTTCTTGCTCTTCTCTCACAGGTGCTGTAGTGTTTTTTTACTGTTTCTTAAATATGTTATCATAGAGGCACCAGGAGCAAGACAGCCTTGGAGCCAGCTGGAGCTGCCTCTGTCCAGCATCGGGGCAGCTCTTGGTATCTTCTCAGAGAAGCCACCCTTGAAGACCTCCCCCTGTCCCAGCTACCAAAACCTTGCCACATAAACCCAGTACACATCTGTAGCTCATAGAGGAAAAATCTGTGGTACCACTGCAGCTTTAGCTCTGAAAGTTTTAGATAATAAGTTCAGAATGTACTGCCCAGTGGGTAAATTGTGGATTACTGAAGTGGTGCATAAATATTACATCTTGTTCCTGAAAACTCTCTATCATGACTTTGTGACTAGATATGGAAAGTGGAAAAAGGACCAGATGGAAAAGCAATTGTGGAATTCTTGTCCAACCTTGCCCGCCATACCAAAGCAGTAAATGTTGTGCGCTTCTCTCCAAGTGGTGAGATCCTAGCGTCTGGAGGAGATGGTGAGTAATAATGTGTAATGAAACTAATATAAAGAAGCTACATGTGTGCATCTGGTGAGTGAAAGGGGGGCAAAAAAAGACAAGAACACAGGAACTTGTTTGTACCCCTGTCATGCTTCCAGCTTTAGATTCACATGAGCCCTACGATTGTAATTAGTAAATGCGTGTTGTGCAGTTCCTCAGTAACTTCTTCTCATTGGGCATGTGTCTGAGAGGCTCTGTTTTCCAGATAGAAAGTAACTACTATCCCCGTTTCTCAGATGGGGATTATCTAGTGTCATACGGGGAAGTTGTGGCATAAACTGTAAGTGTAGGCCTGTCTGTCCAAGGCCACGTGTTTTTCAGCCACAGTCAGGACAGCCTTAGGATAGGCATGTGCTCTCCAAGACAGAGCTGAGTGGTAACTTGATTTTTCAAGAGCCCACAGCTCTTAAAGTGCAGAACCGTAGCCAGCTCTAATCAAAAGCAGATTGAAAGCTAAGCACTTAACCTTACACCTGGAAATATTAATCTTTTTTCATTAGATAATTAAATAATAATTTAAAAATACCTTTATTAAAATCAGTAGCTCAAAATGGAAGCTAAAGCAGTCTAGCACCTACGGTTCCCCACCACAAAGTAAGAACTGTTTTTCATGTGTCTTACATGATGTAATTGTGATGTTAAACTAAATGTAATGCATTAACAAATCAATGAGTGGGAAAGAAAGAATCATGGAATTGTCAGAGTTGGAAGGGACCTCTAGAGATCATCTGGTCCAACTCCCTTGCTAAAGCAGGAACACCTAGAGCACGTCACTCAGGACTGCATCCAGGCGGGTCTTGAAGATCTCCAGAGAAGGGGACTCCACGAGCTCCCTGGGCAGCCTGTTCCAGTGCTCCGTCACCCTCACCATAAAGAAGTTTTTTCTCATATTTGAATGGAACTTCCTATGATTCGTATGATTCTTCATATGATTTCTTCTACAGATGCTGTTATTTTGTTGTGGAAGCTGAATGATAGCAAAGAATTGGAACCGTTAGCTTTTCAGGATGAAGATGAAGCTCAACTCAACAAGGAGAACTGGACAGTTGTTAAAACTTTAAGGTAGCTTAATATTTTATGAGCATATTTTCTGTTCAGTGGTTTTGATTCCTCAGTGTCTTGTATCATCTGGTACAGACTTCTGTCCAGCGTATGTTGAAATTCAGTGCTGTCTACTAATATGCATCCTTTTATTGTCTTTTAATCTTTTTTTTTTTTTAATACAGTACCAAACTACATGTTTTGTTGAAATTAATTTGGCATTTATGTGATGTAACTCGTGTTCCAGAATTGGTTCCTGAGATTTGCTGTCACTTAAAGATTAGCAAAGAGATATATAACATAAACGTGAAGTTTTATTTACTAGCTTTACAATGGAAATTTTGATCATTTTTAAAGCAAAAAGCATCAGTATATTAAAATGATTCATGCCATTTTGCCAGCTGATAGCTCTGAGGCTTGACCAGTCCTTTCAAGGACTTCATTTTACTAGTTGAAAATCTACTGTACTGTACAGCGTTTGTTTCAAGTGTACAATGGGGTAGCTGGGGTTGTTCAGTCTGGAGAAAAGGAGACTGAGGGGAGACTTTATTGCTCTCTACAACTACCTGAAAGGAGGCTGTAGAGAGGTGGGGATCGGTCTCTTCTCCCAGGTCACAGGCGACAGGACAAGGGGAAACGGCCTCAAGTTGCACCAGGGGAGGTTCAGATTGAATATTAGGAAAAAATTTTACACTAAAAGGGTTATCAAGCATTGGAATGGGCTGCCCAGGGAAGTGGTTGAGGCACCATCCCCGGAGGTGTTCAGAAGATGGGTTGACATAGTGCTTAGTGACATGGTTTAGTGACGGTTATTTTATCAGAGTTAGGTTGATGGTTGGACTGGATGATCTTAAAGGGCCCTTCCAACCTAGACAATTCTGATTCTACGGCTAATAAATTATACACGCTGTGCCTGCTCAGGCTAAGTATTAGCCAATAGTGGCTAAGGCATCAAACCACTACTGGAAGTTGGAATACAACAGTGTTCTTTTTTTCAATCTCAGCAGAAATCTGGAAGAAATTAGTGGTTCTGGACTCTGAAGTGTATTTTGGATGAGCAATATGTATAACTGCCTTGCTTTCTGTATAGTATCTGTTAAAAGTTTTGGTCTCTGTCTATCTATACTGATAAAATCATTAAGAATTTACGCTTGTTCACAAAAAGTAAGTCTGCTATCCAGAACTGATACATTCCTTGCAACTGCTGAGGTTTATGTGAGAACAGTTTCAAAAGTGCTAGTGGGACTGCATGAAGCACCAGCACGGTCCTTTAGGAACGTCAGAGTTAATCTCTTCAAGCAAGCAAACAGTCCTTCCCTAAAGTTGGTGTTGCAAATATTTATTATTAAAGTTATCACACTGTGATAAGTCTTCAAACTACAAGCAGTGCAAATTGTTTTCATGGAGCCCTCCTAAGTGGTTCTGAATATCTTGCAGTGTTTGTTCAGATATATCTAAATCAACCTTAATTTTCTGTTTCATGTGGTTCTCCTGAGTATGCACGTTCGTTTACTACTTTTATGAAAGCCATAAATATGAGGAAAATTTTCTTGAATAGTGACACTTCCTAGTTACTTTAGTGTTTTATTATCTGTTTGTACAAATCCTAGAAACTTTCATTTGCAGAACTCTAGGTACAAATTCATAATTAGTTCAAGTGCAGTGTTTTCACTGCCTATGAAAATGGTTGAATGGATGTATTGTTTTTAATGTTCTACAGCTTTCTGAATACTGAAATTTTTTTAAAAGCTTAAAGTCATATTTATCATTTCACTCCAATGACACTTTATTTGCCTCTGATTATTTTTTTTAACTTAAAAATGCACAAAACTAATTTTCACATGTAGCTCTTAATTTTTAAATTCATAATTGGTTTCTCCTCTTCTGGCTTCTAGAGGCCACTTAGAAGATGTGTATGATATTTGTTGGACCTCAGATGGAAATTACATGGCGTCTGCTTCTGTAGATAACACAGCTATAATGTGGGATGTCAATAAAGGTAACTGCTACGTTTATCACTTGTGGCTCCAATCCTGATCGAAGTGTCTCATGGTATTTACCAAAACAGTTGAAAGCATTTTTTTTTTTTGGTGAGAGAACAGTCCACTTAATTGCTAGACTTCTGGGATTGTGAGGCAGATAGCCCCGCATATAACGATACCCTCAGGCCAGCAAAATTTACACATAAGTAATTGCTTCACCTTGAAGTATTCAGGAAGTAAACTTCACCCAATGTGGTTTTTTTTCCCCCCGAAACTCCTATGCAAACAGCTGGTATATTACTTGTTCCACCCCATACCCCAACAAACAAAACTTGACTAGTATCAGGTAACTAACTACCTAGGTGAAAAATGGGAAGTGGATATAGATGCAGGCTCTGATTTGCAGCATTTTTTTTTTTTGGTGAGAGAACAGTCCACTTAATTGCTAGACTTCTGGGATTGTGAGGCAGATAGCCCCGCATATAATGATACCCTCAGGCCAGCAAAATTTACACATAAGTAATTGCTTCACCTTGAAGTATTCAGGAAGTAAACTTCACCCAATGTGGTTTTTTTTCCCCCCGAAACTCCTATGCAAACAGCTGGTATATTACTTGTTCCACCCCATACCCCAACAAACAAAACTTGACTAGTATCAGGTAACTAACTACCTAGGTGAAAAATAAAGGGCGGATATAGATGCAGGCTCTGATTTGCAGGATGTGACCTTTTTTTTTGCCTCCGTTGAGCAAAACACTTCTGTTCATGCTCAGCCCAGTGCGGTGGGATTGCTTTTATTCTCCCAGAAAGGCCCATATATAGAAGTTCTGGTAGTAACCAGCTAGGTTAGGTTGCTTTACAATGGCTTAACGTTTTCTTATTAGCAGTGTAATCATTACTTTCACTTTAAATTTAATGTGGAAATACTTAACTTTCTCAAAAGTTAGCCTTTTATCTCACATTTCTAGTATTTAGTGTCTAATCAAGAAAAATAGAGTAGAATCCAAGTTGAATTTTCAGTGCATGCAGCCACGAAAATACAAATGTTCTGCAGCTGACATTTTTTGTGTTCTTTCTTTGAGTGTTTAATGTCTCTCCCATCTGAACTTTCATATATACTCCATTCCAAAAGTCTTTAACATAAATACGTGAATGTTCAATTAAGAGTGTGTGTGCTCAGAGCAGAAGTATGTCAGGGATGCCATGACCAAATGTCTCTTGAATCTCAGACTGCTTGTAACAGCTTTAAAGGAACATACCTATTAGAATTAGTACTAAAAAACCACTGGATGGCCTCTTAAGCTAATATGTTACTTATCTGTAATGTCTTCCATTCTCACTGCTTGCTTTTAGCTTGCAATTAATGCCGTGGAGAGCATTTTATCTCTGGGCAGGGAAACAACTAATAAGTTAGAAGGAAGAAGCCATTACTGGAAAATGTAGGTTTTGTGATTGAAGTTGTAGGTACGTTGAAGGAAAGTGTTTCAAAGATAGCTTCCAGTGATTCCCAGGTTAAAAGCCTGCATGGTTTAAAAAAAAAAAAAAGAAAAAGTCTGGAAGAAAATTAATAGTAAAAATCCATCAGGCTTTGTAGTAAGAGAACATCGCTGGCTTAATCAGTCGTTGAGGTACAAACTGTTGGCAGCTTATGGGGTATCCCATGAAAATACTATCACGTGTTTGGTCTGTTCTTATACTTTGGCATTTGTAGTTGGCTGCTGTCTGAGACAACACTGCAACGGAAGGACTTTTGGTATTATGCAGCATGGCCTCAACCCTGTTTGTGTAATCTTTTTGAAGAGCTATTGTCTTTGAAACTTGTCAACTCACAGTATTTCTTTGCAATAAAGCAACACTATGCTAATAGAAGAAAAGCCTCTGTCCCTAGTATTCAAAACAAAGTATTTAATGAGATGATCTGTAACTTTACCACATCACAGTGAGGATGGATCTGAGACGGTCAACTGTGGAGTATCAGCGGGGTCAGGGAGCTGAGGTCTTTGAGAGATCTTCATGTTAAGAGTAAGCTGTGGAAGAGAATGAGTTAGCACTGCTGTAGAATTGTTTCTGAAAGCTGTTCATGTGTAAGCATCAGTCAGCATGTGTGTAGTGTATTTTTTTCACTGCCTGCCCAGCAGAGTAGGTGAGTTTTTACAACCCTAGATAGTAAAGCCTGGCTATCTAGCCCCAGCTGACAGTTATGTTTTAACACTGTAATTTCTGGCTCATTACTCAGCCAAATTCAGTTAGCCATTGAACAGCTAGACTGGCCTGAAAATATTTTTCTAAATCATAAAGGTTTTCAAATACTTCTGGTTTTGAAATATAGTCATCCTGCATGTTTTAAGCCGAAGCCAAGCTGCTTATGAGTTAGTTTGTAGGGAACAAACCTTAAATTTGCATGTCACAATTTATTGTACTTACGAAGATTTGAGAAATAAAGCAACTGTTTTCGATATTCTAGCTGACTACCATCAAGTTAACAGTTTGTGTGTTTAAAAAATTATTTTGAAACATTTTGTCTTGGTTTATTTCTGAAATGAAGAATTGTTTTAAAGCACATCTGAATTTAGACTCTGGAAACTGTTTGTAATTTCAGGACAGAAGGTTTCAATATTAAATGAACACAAGAGTTATGTCCAAGGAATAACCTGGGATCCTCTAAGCCAGTACATTGCAACTCTGAGCTGTGATAGGTGAGCTGTTTGTTTAAGTGTTTTGCCTTAGTATTCTTTCTTACTTGAGGATGAATTAAAAGCAAGTGCATGGGATAAATGTGACTTTTCATTTTATTCAGATTGTTCTGTAAGAATGTTGAGGTGGAAATGATATTTTTGTTAATCTTTTGCTTTGGAAAATTATTCCTGAAGTCTGAGTGTCCTCTCTAAGCAGCAAATAAGCTTACATAAACTTGTGTAGAAATTTTTCTTCAGGAAATAAGTTTTCATGGTGTTAGTCATTAGAGATACCAAATGCATCTTCAAAGAGCGCTGCATTCTCTGGTTGTTAATGAGCTAAGAAGTTCATCCTTGTCATTTTACAGAAAGATACAAACAGGTTAAGAAATCAATTAAAATGTTTTTCCACTGATATCTTTCTTTTGCCCTCTTGCTCCCTTCATCACCAACAGTTTTGTAAGTGATGTCATTGGGAAAGCAAAACACACACTTCATAAACTTGGCCCTTGTCAGAACTCTGAGTTGAGCTGAAGCTGTTTAGGGCATGTGTGCTGCTCTGAAGGGTTCGCAGCTGGCTAATAAATGCTTGTCATCTGGCACCCGCTGCAAAGAAAATTGCTGTAATAGTGGAAAAGTAGTTTTGATTTAAGATTTGCAATAGGCTCAGAAAAATGGTAAGTTAATGGCGACTAGGTCATTATGAGTCTCTGCCTTCTGATAATCAGTTACGTGAGATTTGTGTGCCTTTATTTAAATGAACAGGAGTGAAACACAAGTAACAGAATGATGCACAAGTTTTTCTTGGAGTGAAGTTGCAAGCGAGGGCATGAACTAATCTGAAGAGGGCAAGTTCCCATCCCCTCAGGTTTCAGACACTTCTCTGCAAGTTTTGGTGAACAGCATTGGCTCAGTGGGAGTCTTAACAGGAGCCAGGCCAGTTGCCAGGACTGGAATCAGCCCCAAGGTGGGGAGATTTCTTCCCTCTCTTGGCAGGCCAGCAGAGCTGTACAACATCCAGAGCCAGTATGTCCACAACTGTCTCAAGCTGTCTGCCACAGCCTCACTTTCTATGTCCTCTTCCTAGCTCTGTCCAGGACTCTTTGTGGAGCTCTTTTAGCACACAAAGACTGTTTCAGCTGTTTCTTCATTAAGTCAGCAGAAACCTATCTGTTTTTTGTGTTATGCTGGTTTTCTGCCAGCCTAACAAACCAACGTAACTCAGTGAAAGTCAGAGCTGGCAGAAGGGAGGGACTGGTGGGATGAGGAGTTATGTTTTCTTAGGCTACCTGCTGTTTAGTGACGTGAAGTCAGGGGAGTTCCAACATTCTGTACAGAGGCGCACTCTAGTTTTCATTTATTCCAAGGAAACTGAGGCATAGAGATGTAACTAATTGTCTGAGATGAGTTTCCACTTTGTAGGATCATAATGGCTACTACAGCACAGGTAGGAATGGCATGACCGTCCACTGTCCACTAATTCTCATTCCTCCAGAAATCCATATGCTGGTACTTCACAAGGCTTCCTGGGTCAAGTCAGTGATTTGTTAGTTATTTAGCCATCAAAACACATCCAGAAGGTGGTGTCTCATGAACAGCTATAATTAATGTCTGATTGTCATTTCTGTTTGGCCATCCTGACTGAGAAGTGAGGTACTGTAGTGCCATGTGAAACTTGGGGTGAAAGGAGACTGTTCATAGCTAACTTTGCTCTCCACCATGTAGGATCCTACGGGTATACAACACACAAACCAAGCGTGTAGCATTCAATGTTACCAAGATGCCATCCGGATCAGGAGCTGAAGGAGAGGTACGTTGCTGTGGTACTAATACTTCTGGAGAACATGCTGGGTATTATTTTATATGAGTTGTTCTATTCTATGAAACCAAAGGGGCAAATGTTTTCCATTCAAGTAATCCATTTATTAGACATTTTTGACTCTCACCTTTGTATTTCATAAATACAGGCTGCTTCAGGTTTCCTTGAACATCACAGAAATTACCAAGAAAGAACACTTGCAAGTTCAGCTGATTAAAGTAGTAACATAATGTCTTTGGTTCTAAATGTTAAAAATAGTGTGGGGAAAAAAACCAGTATACATAGTGAATTCTTAATAGGAAAAACTTCAAACATGTCTGTCTAGCTGCAAGTTTATTAATGGATAATACATACAGCAACCTGAAATTTTCAAAAAGGTAGTTTGAATTTTAGAAAAAGTATGAATTACTGAAAACTTAGGAACTTCTCTCTAACTCTAAGAGGGAAAACAAAGAGCTTTTTTTCCCCCAAACAGTTCTAAGTGATAGTAAAGTAACACCTCCAAGCTGGCTATAACCTTTTTAATTCCTTCTATTCCTTTCCTTTTTTTTGGGAAAACATTTGTAACAGTTTTATAGAGAGTAACGAACAGGCCTGAGAGAGGGCATTTTGCCATTATAGAAATTCTCTTTAAACCTCTAATACTAGAGTTAAAATTAAATGCCTAAGGAACAGGCTTTTACCTTGACTGTTAAATAGTGTTGTTCTCCAGGCTATTACTATTTTTTTGATTACTGGTCTAATGTGACTGCTCTTGGGGTGTTTTGATTAGTAGCTGAAGAGGGATCAAGGACTATTTTTCTTAGCTGTGAAGAATTTACAGCGCAGCAGAAATTGAGTTTGAAGGAGCTGTGGTTTTTCAAACATTTATCTTTTATTTAAAAAGTTCCATCAGGTTGGATTGTACAACTGGATGGTTTTTCTCACTTGAATTCCAGCTGACACATTCTTGGCACTCTACGCAATCATATTTTCACTGTTACAGGCTAGGAGCTATCGGATGTTTCATGATGACAGCATGAAGTCATTTTTCCGCAGGCTCAGTTTTACTCCTGATGGCTCCTATTTACTCACTCCAGGTATGTGAGAACATGTGATATATCTTGCATTTGTTTCTATTATGCTCTAGTTTGAAAGGGCATAAAATTGCTTTCAAACTGCTAGAGAGGATGCTTATTTATCTTAATTATTCCATTCCTTGTTCTTCCTGTTGAAGGAAATAAAGATTCCACAATACTCTTCCTTTAGCAACTTTCTCCTGTGATAAAAAAATATAGTTATGGCATTTTTCTGAACTGAAAAAAAACTAAATTGCAACAATACAGCTCTGTTAAAATAGAAACGAAGAATAATGAGTGGTTTCTTTTGACTGTTCTCTCTTTGTTTGTATCCTTTCTTAAGAACATTCTGCAGTCATAGTAAAAATAACATTGCAAGAAGGGGATCAGTTTGCCCATATAAGCACTGCTTTTATAGATGTCTGGCAACATCAAAAAGCAGCTTTGAGGGGGAAGTATATAAGGGAAACAAAAACAGTGCTAAATAAATATTTGCGATGCCTTTTAAAGTTGTGTTCAGGTTGCACAACTCTTGCCCAACTGACAAGCCTAATTCCTGAGAAGCAGAATGTTTATGGACATAAAGTGTGTACTCAGTACCTTTTTGAGTTGATGAGTAATGGTTTAACCTTTATTTTTGCAGCTGGCTGTGTTGAATCAGGAGAAAATGTAACAAACACCACATATGTTTTTTCCAGAAACAATCTTAAAAGGTAAATTTTAATAAGATCAAAATATCTTTGAATTTTAAAAATAAAAAATGAAATGCTGTTTTCTGAAATCCTGATTGTTTTTAAAAAGGCCTGTGGGTCACCTGCCATGTCCTGGAAAGGCAACTCTTGCTGTTCGCTGCTGCCCAGTCTACTTTGAGTTGAGACGAGCGTTTAATAAAGGTACTGTAAGTCCTTCAGGGAGTATAATTTTACAGCAAATATGGGAAGTGGCCAATGTGGCTACTATTTTATGCCCTAGCCTTTTAACATTCCGTTAAGATAGGGTTGTACCACACTTTGAAGCTGTTTCCTGATTCTAAGACCCTGAATTCACCTTAAGTACCTTGCAAGTAGCTTTTGATATAGTGGATAAATGTTCTTACTTAGCCTCTTAGGCTACAGAAACACTGTTTAATATTTTTCTTTAACTTTTAACCGTTTTATGTGAGTTAAAGTAAATAACTTGGCTTAGCACTAAAGGAGAGACCCAGTGAAATACTTTCTGTTAGTCTCAACTACCCACATCACAGAGGCACCAGAGAGTTGATGTAGGTTGCAACAACCATTGCTGTTTATTCAAGGAAGCCAAACCTTGAAGCAGTGTTACTGGTGTTACTGGCCAGAACAGGAGTTCTGAGGTGGGGAAAGGATTGTATGAAGTTGCATGAGAACTTAGCTGGAGATTGAAATCCAGCCTTATTGTGAGCCCAATGGGTCCAGGAGTCTCTGTTTGTAACAATACTGGTCTTACTCTGGTGAAAAAGCATAGCTTTGGACCTTTCTTTAGAGGGTCAATCTGCAGCATTCCTTACGCGATTTAGAGATTGTTATATTCTGTATATTCATCATAATATTTAGATCCATTGTAATGGATCTAAATGGCAAAGTAAGGAGATGAGTGTCTGCTGTTGGTATGTAGCTTCTTTAAAGGGAGTGTTTAGTTTCTGCAACATACACCCAGAAAAGTGAAAATCTATGGTAGTCTTTATCACATTATATTAATGGACTGTCTGGTTCAGTGCATAGCTTCCATAATCACTGTAGACCTGAACAGGAGCTTTGTGTGCTAGGAATTGCTGAAAGCAGCTAGCTACCACTCAGCTTCCAGTGGCAAGAAGTTGGAGTAATCTGCCCTTATAAAGAGCTAATGTTGCAACGATAAGACTAGCGAGGAGCTGAACCCATGATAACACAAATAGAGCTAAGTCCGTTGTTTTGAGTGAGTCGTACAGAGTACAATGTGGTGGTATAAACTTGGCATGAGCTTGATTTACCCTATAGCCTAAGGTGTGTTTGTTTGGACTCTTATACTAAAGTGCATATAAATATGCTGAAAATTTTCAGCTGGAAAATATATGACAAGCTTTATAAAACAAAATAATAGCAATCCAGATAGACAAAACTTCTGCCAGTTTCTCTCTATTCAGCTAAGAAAGAGGGTAAACTTCAGGTAACAGAAATGTTCGTGCATGACACGAAACTTTACGTTTTATAGAAGTGCTGTCTTCTCAGCCATTATCTTGATACTGAATAATAATAAAATCCTTATTTATATTCGTGACTTAGCTGATGCAGTTACTACCTTGCAATGAATACAAGAAAGAATTCTCAATGTCTTAATTTCTTTGCATTCTAGATGAACTCAGTCAGAAATCAGCTCCTGCCCTATTTAATCTGCCCTATCGATTGGTGTTTGCTGTTGCTTCAGAAGATTCTGTGCTTTTTTATGATACTGAGCAGTCCTTCCCCTTTGGTTATGTTTCTAACATACATTATCACACCCTTAGTGACATTTCATGGTAGGTAATTGTTATATTGTTAAAATTAGTTGTGATGGAAATATCCTTTTTTACATGTCTTGTTTCTTGCTTTATTTTTATGTTTCGTTTATGACACGTGGTCACTGTCATCACAGTGTCTGAACAGCAAGCTGCCTCGTTTTTGCCTTGTAAACTGAAGAATTATGTTTTTGTTGGGGGGGGAAACAATCAATTGGGAAACAAGGTGCAAGCACCCCAGGGACAAGCAGGTGGATGTTTTTATGAAAGCTAGTGTACTGGGTGTCCATGGCAAGTACTCATTGTTCAGGCAGTGTAACTAGTAATAATGAAGTTATTTGGAGGTTTTGGAAGTCATCTCTCTGAGTTCAGGTGCCTGGCCAAATTCTGCCTAGTGGTTCTTCACGTATGGGACTAAGTAATTTATCTGACTTGATGTGGGGAGTCAGAACTGGAGCTGCAAATTGGACCCAAGTCTTGAAATCAGGATACACCCCTCTGCTGGACACAGCTTCTTCTCTCATACTTTTCTAGCCAGTATACATAAGGCGAGGACCATATGGAGGCCTCTTTTTCAGAAGTTACAATTGATGTTCAGACACTGTGAAAACCACTATGTCAGGAGGGAGTGGAAGAGAGTAGAAAATCAAGAGGTTTTAGTCAGTGATAGACATTAGTTGGTGAAATGAGCATGGAGGGCCCATTCAGGTGAGCACCACGGTGACTGAGCATTGCCTCTCCTTAGCACAAGAAGGATAGCCAAAAAGGTTGAACTGCTTTGCTAGTCTGAATGAAGAGAGGAGACTTCAGCAATATTTCAGAAACTGCAGCTGAAGGTTTGTGTGTGTACCTGCAGTTGAACCACACTTTGTGCCAGCTCAAATGCATGCAGGTGCTGGCAGCAGCATCTTACAGGTGATCACAGATGACACCAGAGAGATTAAAACAGATGCAAAGGCCAGAATTTAAGATCTTTTGTTCACTTTAATTGAATGTCTTCCACATGACTGCAGTTTTATTTAAATGTGTATATGTAGTTGGGGAAGGTTATAGATGTGTTATAGATGGGGAGGGTTAAAGAAAAGTTCTGACCTTCACTTCTAATAGGAAAAAAAATATATCACAAATAGGTCCAGTGACGGAGCCTTCCTTGCCATTTCTTCCACGGATGGATACTGTTCATTTGTTACTTTTGAGAAGGATGAACTGGGAATACCACTGAAGGAGAAGCCACAGATAAATGTCAGGGCTCCTGGTGCAACAGAGAAGAAAGTGAAAAAGAGCCAGTTGCACAAAGCAATTTCCCCAGGCTCTAGACTGACAGAGGGGACTCCTCCCAGCAGGGTCACTGATCCCAGCACCCCAACCCTGCAACCTAGAACACCCGCAGCTGCCGGTAAAGACTTGTCTTCCACACCTGTTGGCATAAAAAATATTCCAGTCTCATCCTCAGACGAGAGGAAAATCAGCCAGCCAGCAGGCCAGAGCACTAAAGTAAACCAGCCCAGGAGGATTACTCTCAACACTTTACAAGCATGGAGCAAGACGCCAAGGTGAGATTTATATTGCCGTTTCCAGTCATAAATATGAAGGCCAAGACAAGCTGTGCTTATGCTACATTTAAAGGGTTGAGGTTTAGACATAAATTCCCAGCCCTGTGTCTCGGTGGTAGCTGTCTTGACATGGAACTTTTTGTTCCAGTTACACTGCAACCAAAAGGTCAAAATGTCTCCTGAATCCTAAATGTACAGCTTTTATATTTCTGTCTGAAATGTCAGGCAGAAACAAAGTTCCCCTGACCGTTACGCCTTGTCCGTGTGGCAGCAGCAGGTGTCTGTCTTCAGGTCCCATTTTCTGTACAAAGATGGTACCTGAAGCCTTCAGCTGACAAGCACTATCTAAACACCCTTCTGACAAGAAATATTGTAAGAAGTAAAAAGTACAAGTATAGACAGGCTCTCAGTGTTGCACAGTCATGGGTGTGGAACTTAATGCACTGATTGAGGTTATTTCCTAAAGTGAAGATTTAGATTTTTAGACAGTGATTGTAATCCATGTATTGATTGTCAAAACAGCCTGCAATATAAGATCCTGAGCTGGTGTGCAACAGTAAGGAGAAAGCATGCAATTAGAGATCGAGGCCTTCTAGAATTAAAGGAGATTTATAACTTCTCATAAGAGTGTTTTAATTAGTAGGTGGCTAGGGAGGAAGTGGTGAATGAGAAAGCAGGATAGTGGATTTCATCAACAACGGCAAAGAGAAATCTTGGAGATGATGGCTTTCTACACACCAACGTTCGTCTGTACTGGAACTAACAAGTCAAAGGGTTGTAGGTCGTTGACAATTACTTTTTCCTGGAGGACTGGTGGAGCTGTTTTTTTTTTTTTTTAATTTTTGAGAGAGAAACTATATTCAGTCATATAAACTGATTATGCCATGGGTGTCATCTTGTAGTAGCGTGCATGGTGCTACTTGTAGGAAGTTTTTTGTTTATGGTTCTATTCTCTATTACTATTTTTGTTTCATTTTTAAGTGCCACCCAGAAGAGATTTAGCAGAAGAAAATAGATTTACAGTAATTGTTAGTGGACCTCAGCAGGCAAAGGAATTCCCGAGAGTTTTATGAATCTAAAGGCTTAATGTGAACAGGAATAGTAAGCTAGGGAACAGTAAGCACAGCCAGCCTTAGTTTTAAAATATTTGACCGAGATACTGTGCTCTGAAGGTGGCTGTCAAGCATTATGCCATGTATAACATATGCAAAAGTACTTTCTAGTGGAAAAGATCTCTAGTGGTACTTAAAGTACTTATAAAAAACACTCTATTCAATGTGTAACAAGAAGTAAAAATGCATAGTAAAATATACCTAAACTACATTTAAATTTAACTGATTCTATCTGTAGTAAATATTTAAATAATGTATTGTGGAAATAATGGTTTTAAAGCAATGGAACCGTTTCTACTTTTTTAAAGGAGAGTAAACTTGATTCCACTGAAGCCAGATACGCCAACCTCTGCATATACAGATACAGTTCCTATACCTCCTTCCTCAGAACAGGAACATGGTAAGCTTTCACAGCTATTAATATCCAGCAAAGTCTTTTACCGTTCGGTTCTTTCCTTTATAGACCTATGTTATAAGCTATGAGCTTAAAACACAAGCATAAACCTAAACCTAATTGCAGATTCTAAAGCTTTTTCATTGTCTTGGTGTGTTTGAAAGGTGCTTTTGACAATATGAAATGTGTTCTCACTGCAGTTGCTCTTGGGCAGCTGCTTATGTGACAATATGTTGCTACAGTTTTTATAGTAATGGGTGCGCTAGCTGGCACTGAAACTAGGAAGAGTAAATTCACTTGGATCTTCTAATGTTCTCCAAGTCCTACAGGTGGGTTTTAAAGACCCTTGTACTTTCAGTGTGTCACTGGTTCAGATGCTGCACTCTCAAATCAGGGTTGGGTGTTTTTGATGAGTGCTGAATAGTTTGTGAATTCAGCAAACCAGTGTACTTTCTTAATCTGGATTTGCTATACTTAAATGTTTTTCCTGTCTGTCTGTTTCAGAGAAGCCATTACCGTCTGATGACAGTCTTCAAAATCCCCCAGCATCAAAACGTCCTAGAACTGAGGAAATGTCTCTTTCTACATCTGCCGAAGATCAGATCAGCTGCAATTCAAACAAATAAAGGCTAAGCTTTTAGTAGACTCTTCACAGTCTGAAGGCGATGCAGCCTATCTGAGAGTACATGTTGGTTTTGCAAATGTTAAATCCTCAATTCCTGATTAAAGTACATATTTGATGTAATGCTGTGAAGAAAGAAACTGGCAGTAGAAGGCACGAGTTCCAGGAATGTAGCTTTGCAGAAGAGGAAATAGTTGGGAAGAGACTTCTAAGTATGTTTCTACTTCTTGAAGACAGCATTCTTCAAGAAATGCCACAGCTTAAAGAAATCAGGGAAATCTGAGTTACTGAAAAGCAATACAGTAACCTAAGAGTCTCCATCAAAGTTCCTAAGTTGATGTTTATAAAGTATTATGTCTTCCAGTAAGCTGTCTGGCAAAAGAATAGAATTTCTAAGGACTTAAATACATTCATAATGGTTTGATGTGGTTTAGGACAAAATATTTAAGACAAAAAAAAAAAAAGAAGCAGTTTCATTCAAGCATCTAGACTTAATATGTTTAGCAATGTGCAAAATAATTCACACTCTCAGGTACATGGGGAATGGAAGCTGATGTTCACATGCTCTGAATGCACCAGAGTAAAATATGACTGATAGGATTAAAATACCAATCAGGACTTGTAACTGCAAGAAACAAAGCAAAAGGAAGAAATCCTCTGAAGACCTGTTGTAAGCATTAAATAGTGGAAGAAAGTTCTTTGTTGTTTAGTGTCTGTTTTTAAAAAAAAATGCAGACAAAATTTTCCTGAAGCAGCGGGATTTGAGCATATATGTTAGAGGTTTCCCCCTTTTCTTGTTCTCAAATATTAATTCCCTTAGCCAATAAAATGTGGTATAAATCAAGTGCATGTTAAACCTTAAAGCTGATTTCTTTTTAGCATTTAATATCAGCACTAAGCATTTAGCATTTAATAATTGAACTATGACCTGCAGATTGAAAACAGTGAGACCAAAATATTTGAAAATCGCTACACTGGATTTGCTATGGTGTGCAGACTTAGCCTCCAGAAGTGGAGTGCTCAGCCACAGTATTCTGAGCTTATCCACTTCGTTTTGTTTAACATCATGGACTTGACTTTTAAAAGTAAAATAGTTCTTAAAATGCGAATGGTCGTTCTAGCCGATGATAGTGTGAAAAAGTTCTACACGGAATTTTCTGTCATGGTTTAGGTTATACTTCTATCATTTGAAGTCCCACAGCACACAGGGGGAAAGCTGCAATTCATATTAAAGGTCTTCGACTTTCTTTCTTCTCTGGATTTGGTTGGTTTTAGGTGTGCAATTTTGTTAGAATTAATTTTCTGTCAGTTTCTAAGAAGGTGGAATAATACTTTAGAAAAGCAGAAATACAAATTCTTCAGAAGTGATTCACAAAAATTCATAGGGAGGACATATTAACAAATACCTGTGTGAGTGTTTCAGGCTAATGAATATGTTGTTTATAATGAATTTTCAATGCAAATTAGTAAGCAAGGAGTTACAGGAAACTAACTCTTTGCTTTCAGATGAGGATGGAGCTTCATTAAACTTAGCCAAACCTGGGTTTTCTTCTAGCGAGGAATATAAAGACATCTACATCTAAAAAAGTTTATAGAGATACCTAAATTAATGTTTGTAGAGATATGTGGATTGACAACTGAAGCAGATATTTGTGACTAACATGCATCGCTGGACTTGCTATTTTATGTTTTGTCCAGTTTGAGATCTAAAAATATTGGTATTTAATCTTTCAGTGGGACAGTGACCCACTTAGTGCAGTTCTGCAGTGTTTTGTTTTGTGCACTGCAAAGGATCCTTTGAATTCAAACTTACACTTCAAAGTACTAATTGCAAAGCCATCCTGATAGGTATTTTAAAATCGATTGTTTGTTTTACACAGTGTATTTCAATGTAAATTACTCTTTTTGTTGAAAACTAGTAGGTTGGGTATATTATTTTAGTGTTACTGGCGTGTCTAGTCTGTGGTTTTCAGATACAATCAATTGCCAGAGTATTCATCTTTATTTCATACCGTGACCATTCAGATGACATATATGTTTGTTGATACGGTTGCTCAGCTTATTTTCACTCTGCCTCACATTCTAATTGGAGCTGTAAAATTCATGTGACTTCCACTGATGCCATTTGGAGGCTATTTTCACATCATGGTCCCTGTCAGAATGCTTCACCTGATATTTCATCTTCCCTAATGGGATTTTATTTTTTCTCATTAGTTTCTTCTTGCCACTATGATTTCCTACTTCTCTGCTTATTCTGTTACTTGCACACTACTTTGTAACATGTATATAGCACTAGGTTTTTAACCTTTTTCTACAGATGGATGCCATCATTCATATAATAAATTACCATCTTCAACACTGACAGTCAGAACTGTAGATCCCTGTTTTTGTGATCTCTGTTTCAGTCTCCAAAGGACCATCCCCACGTAACATTTATACTTAAGACATTGAAAACTGTTCTCACACTGTTTATAGACAGTGGGATCACATTTTGTTCTCAGTTGTGCCCTAGACTGCTCCAAGACAAAACATGCCCAGTGCTACTTCTCTTCTTTCTAGACTGCTTCATAAGGTGATGTATTGCAGAGACATAACTCTTTCAGCTCTAACCCAGGTTTGATTTAAAGGTTATTTTTAGTTGGCCAGTTGAATTGTTTGTACTTCAAATGGACCCTGAGTTCATATTCCAGCTGTGAACGTGATAACAGGTCATCTTCTGAGATCACATTTTGCTCAGTGCCTTCTGTAAGGATCTTATCCACTGTAAGGACTCTTATCCTGCTTGTACTGTCTTGATGAGATAGCATTATGGAAGAATGCCCTATCTACATCTTTTGACCTTTCAGCAGTAAGAAGAGGGAGCTGAACTCGTAGAAGTCAGCTCCAGAGGTCCTGTCCAGCCTCACCCATTCTGTGATTCAGTGGATGCTGCCATTTCCAGTTTGGCATAGTTTGAATAAGCAAGTGCTTTAATACTTAAGATGAAGAAGTTACCAGTCATGGGAGTTTGCTGAGAGTTGTGGTCTTCGTGTGCCCTTCCTTCCCATCTTCTTAAAAACTATGTGGGTTTTGTGTAGGTGCATGAAGCATAACGAAAGGTGGGGAGTGAGCCCACCCACTGCAGCTACTGCACAGATAAAGTCTGCATTGTCTGATAATGGGGACTGTGTATCTCAGAGAGTTCAAGCTACAGGCAAGTGATCCTTTCCCTTTTCAGACTGGTTTTCTTGCATGTCTTACATGTACATATTTCTCTGTCTTGACAGTAGGTCTTTTAAAAGGTCATCTTCATGTTCCAATTCTGCATACTTTCATATTTGTATTTAAATGTATGTGTCTGTATGTATGTGTAATCATTTTTCCATGTTAGAAAATTGCCTTAAACCTTGTACCTTTTTTCCTAAGTTCAGTGAAGGGCTAAAAAAGCCCAGGCTGCAGAACCACAAACCGTGAGACTTCTGTGTAAAAACAAAGTGCAGAGCGACCGCTGGATGTCACTCTCCTAACAGGATTCCTCCTCCCAGGGCTCTGAGGAGAAAATGCTACCCACAGCAGGAAGGGGAAAGAAAACAGTTTGCTTTTGAAAAACAAGTTGGAGGTGAATCTAAATAGCAAATGTATGTTATCACCAAATTAATTGTTTCTGTTGTTTCTACAAGCTTCCTCCTAAGGAGACAGGGGTTGCTTTCTTGGGAGTTACTTTTTATAATTGAGTGAAGAAAGTAAGTCCATACCATGATAGCCTTTCTCTGTTGGGAGATGTAAAATGATGAACCTGAAATGTCACGTGCAGCCTCAAACTTTCCAAGAGTGTCTTGAGCATCATTTCTGCTGAAAAGGTTCTTTAGAAGGAATGCAGTTTTTTAGATGGGGGAGGGTTCACGACTGCCTTGTTCCCAGGAAGACTTTCTGGTATGGTACGTATATTACATTTACTTTTGGAAATAATGGGTCATTTTTAGACAGCTAGACATCATGGTCCTGTGCTATTGATGTTAGCTTTAATTTTTCTTCTATTCAGCTACCTATATTAATACATCTTGTAATTACTTAACTACTGCCTTTTTGTCCAAATTTGGTTGATGTTTGCCTATGGATTCAAAACAGAATCCCTCTATTGTGTATGCACATTCTCTATGTTTACATAAACTTCATTCCTTATGAAGGAGAACAGGCTTACCGAGAAACTGTACTTTATCTGTGCTTTCTGCTGGAGCAGTTGCAGGATCATGAAGAGGAGGCAGCCCAGAGTTACACGATAATGCATGGTATCAGAAACTATGTGATAACAGGATTTGCTCTATGAAAACTATCTGCTTTTCACACCTCTCTTTTCTTCACGCTACTATTAACGATTTTTATGTTGCAGTTCAAAGGCTCTAGATCATTGCTACATGGCAATAGCAAATTTCATTTTGGAATTTATGTAAAAGAAAAAGGAAATCCTGATCAGGCAGATGTGAGACAGTGCTCCTACCCAGTAGTACCTTCTGATTTTCTCTGCCACATGAGAGGTGGGAAAGGGCCTTAGTTGTTGAAAAGGAGAGTAAAGGTGTAGTTAGAAAAGGAGATGGCTGGGAGAGGAAAAGTCACAGGTGTGGATTGAGTTTTTTGAGCTGGGATGTAGAGAGATATTTGAGGGTTGGTAACTAAAGGAGAAGGTGGGACCTCTGGAGATCATCTAGTTCAACCCCCCTGCCAAAGCAGGTCCTCCTAAAGCAGGTTGCACAGGCACCTGTACAGGTGGGTTTTGAATGTCTCCAGAGACAGAGACTCCACCACCTCTCTGGGCAACCTGTTCCAGGGCTCTGCCACCCTCAAAGTAAAGTTCCTCCTCATGTTTAGATGGAATTTCTTCTGTTCAAATTTGTGCCCATTTCCTCTTGTCCTGTCACTGGGCGCCACTGAAAAAGGGGTGGTCCCATCCTCTTGACACCCATCCTTAAAATATTGGCCCCATCCTCTTGACACCCACCCTTAAAATATTTGTAGGTGTTGATCAGATCCCTCTTCAGCCTTCTCTTCTCTAGACTAAAAAGACCCAAGTCCCTCAGCCTTTCCTCATAAGAGAGACGCTTCAGGCCCCTCATTATCTTTGTGGTCCTCTGCTGTACCCTCTCCAGCAGTTCCCTGTCCTTGAACTGGGAAGCCCAGAACTTCCAGTACCTGAAGGGCCTATGAGGTCTCCCTGCTTTGTAGCCCTCTGCTCTACCCTCTCCAGCAGTTCTGTAAGCCCAGAACTTCCAGTACCTGAAGGGCCTATGAGGTCTCCCTGGACCCTTCTTTTCTCCAGGCTGAACAACCCCAGCTCTCTCAGCCTGTTTCCACGGGAGAGGTGCTCCAGCCCTCTGAGTATCTCTGTGGCCCTCCTCTGGACCCGTTCCAACAGGTCCATGTCCTTATGTTGAGGTCTCTGTGGACACAGTACTCCAGATGTGGCCTCACCAGGGCAGAGTAGAGGGGCAGGATAACCTCCCTCGACCTGCTGGCCACGCTCTTCTTGATGCACCCCAGCATGCCATTGGCCTTGTTGGCCACAAGGGCACATTGCTGTCTCATGGTCATCCTGTTGTCCACCAGGACTCCCAGGTCTTTTTCCTCAGAGCTGCTCTCCAGCAGGTCAGCCCCCAGCCAGTACTGGTGCAGGGGGTTATTCCTCCCCAGGTGCAGCACACCCTGCACTTGCCCTTGTTGAATTTCATCACGTTCCTCTCTGCCCAACGCTCCAGCCTGCCTCCATTTGGGAAAAAGGATGGGAAGCTGAGGGTGCAGGAAGCCTGACTAGTGGTAGGTGGCAGGGAGGGAGTTTGCTATTTGGGGGAGTTCCTGTGCAGGAGTCAACCCAGTGATGATCCTTCTTACCCAAAAGCACCTCATTTTCCAGGTTGAGTTATCGTTGTATTATTGCTTTTTTTTTTTCTTTTTCCTTCCTCTTCTGGAATGGTAAGGCTCTTTTCTTGCCATAAAACTCTCAGCTTTGCAGTCTCCTGACAGCACTTGGGGAATGTTGTCAAACAAAGGAGAAACTCACCTCTACTCCAGACTTTTGTCTACTTAAAGACATTTCTCATCATCTTGATATCTTTTTATTGTTCAGTGCTTTTTTTTTTTTTCCTAAGAATTTATTATTTTTGGTTCCTTTCCACCTGGTGTAGAAGAAAACTTGAGAATAGTCTTCTACAGGAAAGAGTTCTTTCAGGAGGAAAATACAACAGGCAGACTTTAATCAAGAGGTCTCTGTGCTGCCAGCTGTGAAACGGAGCACAGCCTCTCCTGCTCCACTCAGCAGCAGGGCGCCAGGCAAGTCTGAAGGCTTTTCCAGCAGGAGCTGGCACTGCAGACTCTCCAAGCAATTGACCTTTGATTAGCCAGAGTCCTGGGTTGAGGTGACCCATACCCCCAGGCTGCAGGAGCACACACATCCAGCCGACCCTCTGGCTGTGGGAGCAACCAGCCACGGGTCCTGGCAGTCTTAACGGAGAGACTGATGTCTGAATTCCATCTGAATTTTGGTATTGAGACAAGTCTACCAGGCAAAGAGCATTCAAGGTGCAAGACAGTACTACATTCACCAGGTACTTTTGCCGGCTCCCCACCTTGTTCCAGACAAGCCTGCTCAGGAGATATCCCAGCCCTTCCTTGGGAGCATTTGTGTTGCCAATGTGCTCTGAAGAAAAATCCCCACATTTGGTACTAATTATCGTTCTCCTTGACGAGCCCAGAGCCCCACACAGCAGGTCTGTTCTTCCTCCCATGGAGGGTTTTGGGACGCTGCTGTTTTCTTGATGCCACCTCTTCGAGGAGCCAGCAGAGCAGCTTGGCGCGGAGAGGTGGCTTGTAGGTGCCACGGTTGCCCTGACCTGGCTGCTCAGGTGTGGCTTTTCTCTGCCACAGCCCTTTCTGCCCTCCTTCCCTCCCCCTGCCATGCACGAGAAGGTCTTCCATGGGGTCTAATAATATTTTTCGACCCAAGGAGCCTGTCCTTTGCTCCTGCCCAAGGGCTCTGGTGCCCGGGCTGCAGGTGCTCAAACACCAGCAGAAGAGCTGGAATGTGCAAATGGGGAGCGGTTAAGTTTTTCCCCGGCCGGTTCCCTTTCATGTCTGCCAGAGCGGCCTATGCTGCTGTTTTTCTTGAGCCTGACAGCCACTTTCCGCCAAGCGATATTGCTGAGAATCCGGCTGCTTATTCCCTCTTCTGAAAACCCCAGAAAGCCATGGCCCTGAGGCCTCTTGGCCTGCAACCCGAGAGCGCCTGCCTCTTAGAGCATGAATAATTAAAAAGGTTCACAGATTTCTTTCTGTCTGGAAACTGGTCATAAATCGGGGCTTGTCCAGGGACTGTGAAAACCCTAATCCTGGTGCTC